AGGAGTGATGGTTCGAGGAGCCAGCAGAACTCTGGCACCATAGAACCCGTTGCTTTTTGAGGCTTACGAACAATTGTGCCACCAATGTGAAGCCCTCAGATCCGGTTAGTATTATGTCCCTTCCGCCCCCCCCCCTCTTTAAAACAAAATTGATTACAACTTACACATTCTGTGGCATCCTTCTTCCTAAGTGGCAAGGGAATTAAGTGCCCTGATTAGCAGTTAGATCCACACCTGTAAGTTTGTATGGACTTATTCCAGTCTGCTAGTAGGAGTTGCAGAAGTGGCTGAACACTACTCAATGTTATGAGTTTACTTGTGATATCTAGAAACCATATCCCCTAGGCATATGAGCCATTGACCGTCAATAAAATGTCAGGTGTGCCAGGACTAGACCAAAACGTTAAAATTTAGAACCATTTTCTCCGCGTTTGTTATCCCGGAACCTCCTTCTTACAGGTGAATCGAAGATTTCAGAAGGCGGTTTTCCCTTCCCTTTATATCCCGAAAGCAGCAAAAATCATATGCCATTTGGGGTTATTACTGAAGGATTTCACGGAGCATCATCGAAAGCTATAGGAGCTTCAGACCTAGAAGACTATGATCTGTTAGTGGCACCATAAAGGTCATATGAGATAATATCCGGATCTGAACCCGAGATGTGATGTTGTCACAGACTCCCATCGAATTCCGTGCAACATACCGAGACAAACAAACTCAACCGCTTTCATCTCATAGAAAAGTGCGCGGATAGGGATCCAATCCTATTCACACATGAGAACTGGAAAAATTCTGCTGCCACTTCTTGTCAACACATGTGAATATTTCTAGTGCTACGCACGCGTTTTCCCACCGTCTTTCAGTTCCGCGAAATATAGTTGTAATGTGATATGATTTTAGCGTTTAGAAGGACTGAACAAAAACTATGTTTGACTTGTAGCAGATGTTGATGGGAAGAAGTGTACAAGAGAGTATAACTTGCCTCGTCATGAACCTCCTCGTTGAGTTTCTTCAGGTGGGCCGCAGTTGTTTGGAGAGACTCCAAATCCCTTTCTCGTTTTGACGCGACGCTAGCCCAGAGATCCAGCTCGCGTTCCGCACGACTTTTGAGGTCATCTAATTCAGCCTTCAGGTCTAATTAGATGAAGTTAGTGGAACAATTGAAAAGATGATAATTCAAAGGGGTAAACATTATATTCTGCAAACAAGCGAGACTGTGATAGACAGTTCTGACTTAGTACACATCCTCGGCAAACCTTACCAAACTCCAGGTTTAAATGATCCGTGAGTCGGAACCAGGATCTTTGGTCATTAGGCGCGGCTGCGTGTGGCTGACTGACGAGGGCTTATAAACCGCAAGTGACCATCCTAATGTCACTTAGCTTTGTATTTACAACAAACTAAATATTGCAGATCGATTGCATGCAAGAGCGCTAGACTACGCCTCAAGGCTTCACGGTGAAGGCATGACCTAATCGGCGAACACCATTGTCGACGACAGTACACTATCTGCAACTGCGAATTTGTGTAATATAACGGCATTGACTATTTTTCGAGCAAATACTGCTTGTAGCACGATAGTGGAAAAGGGGACTGAAGGAAAGGAAATGTTGTGGCCAAAAGCCCAATGGTTTCGATTTTTAAACTCGACTGAATGCACATCAATCTGATTGACGTCTTCGAAGAAACTAAGTCCGTCGCATGCTCGTGAACCCCCAATACTAGATAACACTGCGAATTTTCTCTAAAAACTAGTCGAATCAGTGCGTCCCTATTCCCTTGAACATGAACCTCGGATTCATCTAGCTAAGAATAGATAGACGGAAGAGGAGGGGTCACTGATGGTATTTGGAATTTACGGTTTACTTGATTTAATACTTTAACGTCACTTATACGTAATGTGAAAAATAAATTGCAATCACATCCGCCTCTGTCTACCTTGCCTTTGTCGGCTTGTCGTTGCTCTAGTTCCCTCGTATTTGCACGCTGGTACCCGGTACGGCACCGCTGGTGATGACTCTCCCTGTCCCAAGGGCGCAATGATAGTTTGAGT